CGTTTCTTGCGTCTCCCATTTGGTATGAAATCATCTCAAGATGAATTCCAAAGGCAGATCGATGAGCGTTTTGAAGGTTTAAGTGGTATTGTTTCGATTTGTGAAGATATACTAGTATTTGGACGCACACGCGACGAACATGATACAAACTTGAGAAATATTCTCAAACGTTCCCTCGAAAAGGAATCCGGTTAAATGAGGAAAAACTAGAAGTGGGCGTCACATAAGTTCAGTACTTCGGGCACATTCTGTCAGCAGAAGGTCTCAAAGCCGACCCCGCCAAAGTAGCAGCGGTAAGAGAAATGGAACCTCCTCGTGACCGTGCGGAGTTAGAAACCATTCTTGGCATGGTTAACTACTTATCCAAATTTGCCCCAAAATTGGCAGAGGTCACAAGTCCACTAAGAAAACTGTTAGCGAAAGACGTAGAGTTTTCATGGGACTCTCCTCAAATAGACGCATTTCAAAAGGTCAAATACATAATTACTAAAAGCCCTGGACCTGTTCTGTCCTATTTTGACCCTAAGAAACCACTGACTTTGCAAGTTGACGCATCAAAATATGGGCTGGGTGCCGCCCTAATGCAAGATGATAAGCCCGTGGCTTATGCATCAAAATCCTTGACCACAACTGAGATTAATTACGCTCAGATAGAGAAAGAAATGTTTGCTATACTGTTCGGATCCATTCGGTTTCATCAATATGTATACGCGAGAAAGGTACACGTTCAAACTGACCACCTTCCACTTGTCTCTATAATGAAAAAGACCCTCTATGCAGACCCACCGCGACTACAACGCATACTTTTGCAACTACAGCGTTATGACCTTGAGGTAAAACATTACCAAGGTAAGAACATACCCGTAGCAGATACACTCTCCCGTAAGTTCTCATCGGATACATACCCTATCTTATCTGACGGTATAGATATGCAGGTGCATATGGCGTTATCAGCATTACCTGTATCTAATCGTAAGAAGGAAGAAATTCAATCTCTTACTGAACAAGACCCCCAGATGGTCATACTGAAACAGGTCATAAGTGAAGGTTGGCCTGAAAAGAGGTCAAGCTGTCAATCAGAGATAATCGACTATTGGAATTATAGAGATACACTTTCAGTTGTAGATGGGTTAATCTTGAAAGGCCACAAAATAGTCATACCACAAGCCCTCAGGCAGAAAATGCTAGAAACTGTACATTCAGGACATTTAGGTATTGAAAAGTGTCTGAAAAGAGCCAGAGATGTTTTGTTTTGGCATGGAAATCTCCGCCGACATTTCCGATTTAGTGTCAAAATGCTCTATCTGCTTAGAGCGCAGAAGCTCTAACCAAAAGGAACTTCTCATCAATCATGACGTCCCTGAATACCCATGCAAAAAGTCGCCACAGATCCATTTACATGGGATAATAAAGAGCACATTGTTGTAGTAGATTATTTCAGTCACTACTTCGAAGTTAAGGCACTAGTTAGCTCAAAAAGTTGCACTGTTATCAATCACATGAAAAGCATTTTCGCGCGCTTTGGAATACCGGAAGTCGTTGTCAGCGACAATCAAACATACTATTCTTCTTGCAAGTTCGCAAGCTTCGCGAAAGAATGGGACTTTAAACACGTGACATCGAGTCCCACATACCCTCAGTCAAACGGCCTAGCAGAGAAAATAGTTCAAACTGTAAAGAGAATTCTCTCAAAAGCAAAAGCCGACGGCAGAGAACCACTTATAGGCATATTAGAGTACCGAGCCACTGCTCTTGATATCGGGTTCTCACCAGGAGAATTGTTGATGGGGAGACAGCTTAGATCAATTCTCCCAACAATCCGCGAAAAATTAATTCCAAAAACACCTATCAGCGCTGAGGTAAAAAAGAAAAGAGGAAAACTAAGAATTATTATGACAAAAACGCAAAACCACTAAAACCACTTAAGGAAGGAAAATCAGCCCGAGTTCAATTGAAAGGTCAAAAATAGGAACCTGCCATAGTAGTAAGAAAACACAGAGAAAGGTCATATAGGGTTCGCACCAAAGATGGTACCATTTATCGTCGCAATAGACGTTTACTCATGAAAACTAATGAAACACCACCACCGCCCTCACCTCAGATTGAAAACACATCTTGTATCACCACTCTCCGCAAATGCCAGTAAATCAATTTCAAAGTCAATGGAATCTAAATGTTTCAGCCAAAGTACGCCTGAGCCTGACGCAACGGTCTCATGGGTTCGTCCGCAAGGCGGAAGTTACACACGTTCTGGGAGGCTAGTGAAACCAAAGATAAGAGTGTCAGTATAATATCAGTTCCAAAAACATGAACGTAACCTGGATATGAAACAACTGTGAAATCCGGCACTCGCAGATAAGAGAGACTCAGCTAATAGAACACTCATTAGTGTAGCACATTGTATGGTTTTGTTGATAAACACTGACGGTGATTCAAGATAAGGACCATCAGTTTACATTAAATATCTATCAAACAAGCAATACGATTTCTTAAAAATGTTTAATACATTTGTAGTCTGTCTCAGACATGTGTACGTAGCTAATTGTAATCATTGATATCAAAGACGCGCTTAATTCTGATATGTTAATTATAATGTCTTATTATTCATTTAGTTTGTTAAAAGTTTTTTTAAAACGTTTTCTTTGTAAGAAGAGAGATGTAACATTATACATGTGTAACTGACCAATCAGCACTCTCTGTGTATGAGTCATAGTTCCACTGGTACTATCTACAGGCAACTGCCTCTCTGATAACTCTCGGTGTTAAGACTTCACAGTAGTCACTTGTATATATTAAAGTTATTGATAGTTAGAACACGGCGTCTCATATTATGTTTTAACACAATAACACAACATGTGGTATATCGTTTTGTAGTTTATTACTGTGGTCGAGTGAATAAAGTGTGATACCACGTCATTTTTCATTTAATTCGTTATCATATTAATTAGGATCAATTACCAAACTTTCGTCGTAAATGACTGTACCATAATTGACGCTGTAAGCGAAAATGCACAAATAAGATGGCTTCTTGTTTTAGAAACGCACCTACCCAAGACAGATATTGACTTCATCTTCTCATGCTAATATTTTATACTGTGTTGACAATGTTACTGCTTTGACTTTAGAAGAGATATAAAAAACTTTAAAAACTTCTTGATTCACACCAAATTTATGCTTAAAGCAACATGAGCGATTCTAGAAACGAAAATTGAAAACAACTGCAGGGATATCAGACTTTAAGCAGTCAATAAGTACCTATCGTTTGTTAAAATGAATTGAAATATTTTAAATTCCGCTAACAACGTTTGGTACAATTGCTCGAGGTAATTGAAATTCTCGCTGTTATCAGATTTGATGAGCGAAAGTATTAACTTGTAACGAATACCACTAAAACATATACCTGATGTTTCATTATTGATTTCAGCTGTTAACTGTTTGCCGTTTATCATTAGATATTTGATCTTGCTATTGTCACTGTTAAATTTTCAAACATTATTTCTGAAGTTTAGATAAAATTTCAGTCGGAAAAGATTATGTCAAGTATAGATCTATTATCATGATTGTACCCAAGTGCAAGTGTATCTACTTCATTTTCGCAATAACATTTATCAACAAAATTGCTCATACCACGTTTAATAATGATATCTGTTTCGAGTTTATGATGAATCGTCCGAATAGCCATTGCTCATGTAAAACTAACACCGCCATAAAGCGCGTACTTGTAATCATCAAACTTCATAAACTTTTTAACAAAATCGCGCGGCAGACCTTTTGCTTTTTTCGTTATTTTATTAATTTATTTAATGGTTTTTGTTGCTTCTTAAACATAGTATGACGTTCTAAAAATATATTGTTATTAATTAAATATGAAAATGTCAGAATCCCTCCTTTCTCTCTCTCTGTCTCTCTCTGTCTCTGCCTGTCTGTCTGTCTCTGTCTCTGTCTCTGTCTCTCTCTCTCTCTGTTAACCATCATAGGAAGATATGGGCGAAAATTGAACTGAATCTTATTCAGGAATTTGTATTACTAGGTTTTGTGACTTTAATGCTTGGATTATATTGGGATTTAATTCGCAAAACCGAAAGTCCTTTTTTTTCTCAATTTTCTCTATGTATTCAAAGTAATTCGGGTGGTTTTTCGGACAATTACGGAGCAACTCGGTTCAATCCGGTATGAAATGGGCTATTCAGTTGAGTTTGAATGTGAGTGTGACAACTATCCAATATAGGAAATATCGTGGCTTGGTGGATCCAAATTCATGAACATTTAATCATAGATGGAGAAGATAACAAATAAATATATCAATGTAAGGTCGTCCATTATTTCAAATGGTACTTACTAATTTTCAACGAAAAATCAAGTTGAATTTGGGGTGCATCTGTATTATGTAAAACGATTCTATCATTTAGTTTTAAGCCTTTTTACATTACCTGATCACAGCATATGAAGTCATACAGATTCTGGTACCCATTTGTAAAACCTGTTGGATCTCCACACATATGCATATGTGTGGAGGAGATCAAATAATTGCCAAGAGACACACGGGGACAAAAACTGACCTAAACATTGACGAACAGCATGAGCAGCATAAAATGCCGCACTCTCCGTCTTCAAAAGGCGTATACACATTTTTCCCCAAATAAGCTAAGCTTGGCATTTAGAGTATAGAAATTGGCTCTTTTTTGTTTTTAGTTCTCCTGTAATAAAAACTTATAAGAAAGTTGTTGCACAACATAGCACAGAATACTAGTTGATGACGGTTTTGTTGAATTTGCAATGAGTATTATACATTTTTATCGGGTTTTAAAGATTTGTAACATATTTTGCTGAGACTTGTATATTATATTGTATATATATATATTTACATTTATGTGCATGTTTGTATAATTGACTGCGTGTGTGTGTGTGTGTGTGTGTGTGAGAGAGAGAGAGAGAGAGAGAGAGAGAGACTGAGAGAGAAGCGAGGCAACTATTAGTAACAATTTTATAAGTCTTTAGTATGACTCGGTCGGGAATTAAACCCAAGACCTCCCGCATTCAAGTCGGACGCTCTTGCAACTAGGCTACCGGAGCGATTTTGCATTATTGAACGGATGTACGTATGTATATATGAAATATGTTTTTAGAGCTCGAAAAAAATAAGTAAAAGATAAGGCACACTTTTAATAAACATAGTAGTTTATCAGCGATTCCACAGCAAAATAGAAGCAAAGTTAATTTGTATACATTGTTTAGTGTTACATATCATAGATGAGTTATAACATTATCACAAGTATAACAATACTAATCGATTGTTTCAGAAAGGACGGAATATATATGACATCTATTAACTGAAAATACTCACATATCATCGTGTCTGCTATACTATCCTATTTATGCATAGTGACATATACAACATATTATGTGGAATGTTTATGTTAAGATGTCAAAAGAATCTGAGCGTTGGCAGTCTCATACAGTCCACTTGGAGAGATCGCGCGGACGCTCACAAAGACATCTTTTCCTGCTGGACCTATCACCTGTTTGTCAAAGGAGAATATGAGCTGGGTTTCCCTGGTCTCCTGCCATTGAATAATATCAGAGCCTCCCTGGACAGTTCCCGCTGACACTTCGTACTGCAGTGGGTATTCAGAGGAAAACAAAGAGTCCCAATTAGCTGTCACGGATCCACCCGAGGGACTCCAACTAAGAGAAAGTGTTCTGCCATCTAATGGAATAAAACAAAGAGCAAATACTAGCTGCATGAAATTGTACGATAGTTTCTTTTAGGTTGTCTTGGTGTTTTGTTTTTGCAACTCCATTTTTTAATTTGGATTACACTTAAAACTCACTGAAAATATAATCAATTTCCGCACGCATATAAATACAAATCACTTTCTCCATCTCATATTTCAAATCTTTATAAGTTAAAGTGCATACAAAAGAGTATTTTGTACAACAGAATGTAGTTATAATCCCACATTCAAATTCTTTAAAGTTAAAGTGCAATCAAGAGAGTACATTTTACTACTGTATGTAAGTTATAGTCTCACATTCAAAAATATTAAGAGTCTTGTTCAGAGTAATCACTGAAGAAATAAAACTTTTTTATATTTTACATTCGTATGTTTTACGAATTTCGTTGATTGCATATTGATTACTTCATTCAAAAATAATTCTAAGTAAACATTGTGGAGCAAGATACAAAAAAGTAATACACTTTTCAGTCAAATATGTTGACATTGCAAGGTTTAAGTTTCCATGTAAAATATCCTTCTCGAAAAACAATTTTAAATACCTCAAATCAATCCGAGATCTCTATCATACAACAGTAATTCTTCTGGTTTTCGATTATAGCAAATAGAAACCCTTTGATTGTAAAACATTCCGGACAAAAAATTTATCATAGAAGGATACACTGTAGAATGCCGTTTAGAAATTTCACAATTGTTGCAAAAGTCGAACAGATTTTCTTTAAAGTTTTTATTACCGTGCTTGAAGGGTGGCGTGGTAAGCAATGTAAAGTTCCCCATTTTTGTCTCTGTCCTCATTTTGACACTGTTGATGCCAGTTAGATATACTTTATGTAAGCCGTCTTTTAAGTGAAGGTCTTTGAAGTCTATACACATGTAACCTTGTGTATCCACTGTCACAAGCTCCTTAACTTCAGTGCTAGGTCCATCAAGTGTAACCTGTATTGTAGATATGTGTCGGTGCATAATTATAATTGTACGAATATGCCTTAACTTTCAAATACAGCGAGTCTGCATTTATCTGACCTATAATCCACGTTTACATGGCACGTTGTTTTTAGTGCACCTTCAGCCATATCTTACGACATTGTTTTATCTTTTCTCAGGAATGAGCACCTGGTTTAATTGATGACATCACCTTAGCATCAGAAGTTGGCTATGGTAAGGTTACACGGGGTTCGATTCCTTGTCGATATAATTATTATAACTGTGTAACACGTCTGATTCTATTCTTGTTACTACATTATCAAAAAGACTACTGAGATCAAAGAGGAAACAGTACAGGTGTTCATGTTCGTATCGACATAAATTAATATATCCTTTCGTTTGCATTTATGAGGATATCTCCCTCTCCTTACGAGAGGCCGTATCAAAATATATTAAATTTTCATTGATCAGAAATATTGATTGTTGGTACCGATGAAGTATTAAAAGCTCAAAACTGTTTATGAAGCTGTTAGATATTTAGAAATGAAACTTCAAAATTTGAACTACACTGAAAAATTATGTCAAAATGATTAGATGCATATAAATCATTTTGGAAACTTAAAACTATAGACAATATTGCAACAGTTATGGTCTTGGTAATATAACAAAATGACTTATAGTTGTAGTTTTGCTGTTAGGTGAGATTCCGCAATTACATGAGAAGTAGAAGTGTTTCATAAAAGAAAACTATGGCCTATCACATAATCCTATGTGACATGTATTTATTTTTAACAGTTGGGAAGTACACTATACTCACAGCAATAAGTATTTAACAATTTTATTTGAAATTTATTTATATAAAATTGAAAAGCATTTACATAAACAAGATACGTTTAACTCCAATACCTCGCACATTTCTATTCCAATGTCATCTTTGAACCCGCTCCATCGTATGCGAACATCTGACGCATCTGCATGGAAATAGTCACGTGGGATGTATACGCTTTTTGACGTACCCATGACACTTATCTCCAAGCTGTCGACTGATGGCACTGACCGGACGACATGAACACCATCAGATGACCGTGACGATACCAATCCAGCGCCATTTTCACATCGAACAGTCACAAACACCGTTTTATTTCCAACATCATTCATTTGAAATTGTTGAGCGAAAGTCCAGGTTCCTTGCTCGGATTTAGTAAAGTTCTGTAGATCAGTTTTGGTCGGTGCGGTTCCTTGCAGAAAATAACAAAAGTTAACTAGAGCAACTTCAGTTGTTTACCAGTGTAAATGTGCTCACGGTTTCGATTGCATATTACAAAGCCCTCCTACCCTGAAATACTACCACTAACACCACTAACACATGCAAGTTCCATTACACAAGTCATGTGTCTCTATGTCGTGTTTACGTATTTTAGGTGTTGATAGAGTGGGTTACCAAAGGCGACATACTTAAAAATAGTTTTACACTCAGGGTAACAATCATACTGACAATCTGAGTGTTACAATGCTCTCTTTATCAAGCGTGGAAATTAGGAATAAAGAACAGAAACAAAATTTAAAGATATCAAATTGTATGATTCGATAAGGAATATTAATAACTCCTCAAAATATGTGGAAACACACTGATGTACAAAAGTCATTGTTTTACCTCTTCATCATACAATAAGGAATAAAAACAACCTATTCATTCGGTGAAATTCAATATTTAGATATATTTACCTCAATATTTGTATTAACAACACCCTAGTTTCAATTTCATAGCATAAAACTCATAAATCCTGTTATTTCATGTTGAAATTTACCGATTGCCCACTTGCATTCCTTGACTCCAGATTCTGGATCATTCACATCCCAATTGGCAATGATAACAGATGTGTCCTGGAAATCAATGTCCAGTCCTAAATATGAAAATAGTATAGTTAAGACATCTTGCAAATCAAACAGACCATCCTCAACTGCACGTATTACATATATATATATATATATATATATATATATATATATATATATATATATATATATATATATATATATATATATATAAATATATATATATATATAAAGAGAGAGAGAGAGAGAAGAGAAGAGAAGCTCTTAATGAATTGAACAAAGGCGTTAACCAAGTGGCCAGTTAAAGTTAGGCTCAGTTATGCATAGGCATTGATAAGAACTAAATACTTAATATGATTTTTATCTTGTGCCTGCAGCTGGGAAATTTGGTTAGAGATCAGAATGTAAGTTAATAATAATAATAATAATAATAATAATAATAATAATAATAATAATAATAATAATAATAATAATAATAATAATAAACCTTTGCCATCATTGATGACTTCCAAAACTGGTGGTGTAAGATCCACGATTATGGGTTCGGAATATGATACTGACTTCAAGCCAACAGCATTGGTAGATACAACCGTTACATGGACTCTGGAGTTATGCTTCAGCTTCAGGGAACTGTTGAAGGCAAACGTTCTCAGTCCTACCGAACGGAAGTCCTGCAGTTGTGATCCACCGACTACGTAACCTACAAACAATGGAGAATATAAATTTGTACATTGCAAAACTAAGATTTATTTTTTTTAAAAAAAAAAACAGAGACACTGTCTCTACAAAATATTAAATACGAAACGGTGGTATCAGAAGCAAGGCATTTTTTTAGGTAATTAACCACATTACTGACATAACATTAAACATTATAAAGCTCAAATGTCAAATCTTAATATTAAATACATATCCGCAAGATTAAAAAATATCAAGGTTTATCTACCTTAAATATACTACAGCGGTAAATTCTTTGACGTATGATCAATTTATTTCAATACAAACTCTCGTTAGTTTGTTTGTCGGTATAATAGACGTTTCTTACCTATTGCCCAGCTGTAGTCGATAATGGGACTGTCAGGGTCAACAAAGTCCCAGGAGGCGTGAACCGAAGTCCAATCGTGAACAAATACTGCGTGTGCTTGCACGTGATAATTCTTGTCCATGGAGGGGTCAGTGCGAAGAATGTTTTTCTGAACCTGGACACTATCCAGAGCTATCCCTGTTGACCGATCCGTGCTCCCAATCTCTATAGTAATATCTGGTGATCGAGCTTGGAAGAAAAATGTATGTTGATGCCATATCATAATAGTTTGAAATGTGTGTCTGTTGTCTTGCCTGTGGACCTTATTATACAAAAGGAAGACATGCCTGGTTCCATCAATGTTTATGAACCCTTCCTTGTTGCTTATAACAGATAATGAAAAAGGCAAGTGACTTGTATAAAACACGACTCTGTACTTCTGATCTTTTTCCAAACCTTGAATAGTTTGTGTTACAGAGCCTCTCACAACAAGGAAAGAATTACCATCTTGAGCATGATGTATACTTGTAGTTGCTAGCCAGATGCAAGAGCCTGGT